CAGGGCTGAGCCAGGCTGACGCCAGGGGCCAGGAGCTCCATCCAGGTCTCCCACGTGGGTGCAGGGGCCCGAGCACTCGGGCCGTCCTCTGCTGCCTTCCCAGGCGCATTAGCAGGGAGCTGGACCGGAAGCGGAGCAGCCGGGACTTGAACTAGCGCTCGCATGGGATGTGGGAGTCCTGATAGGTGGCCTCATCTGTCCCACAACGCCCGCCCACACAATCAGAAATCTGAAAGAGGAAACACGATGCCCTAAGACGGCGGGTGTCTGCTGTAAAGGACCAGAGAGCAGGCAGGCCTCGCTCACCCGCAGTTCCTGTCGTCTGTGGCCAGCCTCGGCCCACATGCCTCACAGAAAGGTCCAGGCGGGCCGGCGCTGTGGCGCAGTGGGCTAAGCCACCATCCGCGGTGCCGGCATCCCAGCCGGGCTCGAGTCTGATCTGGCTCCCTGCTAGTGCACCGGGACCGTGGTGGGAAACGGCCCAAGTCCTAGGCCTCCGCCCACATGGGAGACCCAGATGGCGTTCCAGGCTCCTGACCGGCCATCTGGGGAGTGAACCAGCGGATGGAAGATCTCTCTTTCTTTCTCCCTCTCTCTCTCTCTGTAACTCTGCCTTTCAAATATACAAATAAATCTTTAAGGCCGGCGCCACGGCTCACTGGGCTAATCCTCCACCTTGCGGCGCTGGCACACCGGGTTCTAGTCCCGGTCGGGGCGCCGGATTCTGTCCCGGTTGCCCCTCTTCCAGGCCAGCTCTCTGCTGTGGCCAGGGAGTGCAGTGGAGGATGGCCCAAGTGCTTGGGCCCTGCACCCCATGGGAGACCAGGAGAAGCACCTGGCTCCTGCCATCGGATCAGCGCGGTGCGCCGGCTGCAGCGGCGGCAATTGGAGGGTGAACCAACGGCAAAGGAAGACCTTTCTCTCTCTGTCTCTCTCTCTCACTGTCCACTCTGCCTGTCAAAAATAAAATAAAATAAAAAAAACTGAAAAAAAAAACAAAAAACAAATAAATCTTTAAAAAAGTAAAAAGGAAAGTCTGGAAACAATTCCTAGGTTTTAGACAACTTTTATTGTATTATAATTTGCATTATAATTTTCCTTTTCGTGGTTAGTTAGTAATGCCATGTGCCTAGTTTACAATTAAACTTTGTGGCAGGCATGCTTGTATAGGAAGCGACATCGGAGTTCAGTGCCGCCCACGCCTCACGGCACCCACAAGCCAGCACCCTCTTACTGGGTGGGTGCTCCTGGACACAGTTCAGGGCTTTTTTTTTTTTTAACCAAAACAAACTATATTATTTATTTTCAGTTTCTCTTTTAAAAATATTTATTTTTATTTGATTTGAAAGGCAAAGAGACACAGAGGGAGAGACCCTCCGTCAGCTGGTTCCCTCCCTAAATGCCTACAACAGCCAGGGCCGGGCCTGCAGAGCCCAGGAGCCCACAGTGAGCTTGGGTCTCCCGCGTACCTGCGCCGCCCCCGGCCGCCTCCCTGGAGCGCAGCCAGGACTCCGCAGGTCCTCTGACGGGGCGCAGTGTCCCCGGGGCCGAGCCGGGACTCCGCAGGTCCTCTGACGGGCCGCAGTGTCCCCGGGGTCGGCTTCACCACGGCGCCACATCCACCCCTATTCCACTTAATTTGAGAAGGGGGACAGATCTTCCCCTGGCTGGCTCATTCCCCAAAAGCCTGCAACAGCTGGCGCTGGGCCAGGCTGAAGCCAGGAATTCAATCCAGGTCTCCCAGGTGGGTGGCAGGGGCCCCGTACTGAGCCATCCCGGGTGCACCCCGGCGGAAGCTGGATGAGGAACCAAGCAGCTGGGACTCCACCCAGGCACCCCGATCTAGGCTGCGGGTGTCCCAGAGTGACTTCACCACCGCACCGAGCGCCTGTTCCCGGTGTAGGTTTGTGGACCACGTAATCTTGGTGACAGTCACTCGCTTTTGTGGTCTGGGCTTCAGGGAAGCCATAAACAACATGTAAATGAAGGCACCGTGCCGTGTGCACAGACACCTTCGGGACTCCGAAATCTGAGTTTCATGTAATTTTCGTGTGTTACAAAATACCGTAGCTTGGATTTTTGTCGGCCACTGGGAAGTGGGGAAACCACCCTCAGCTCACGGGGCTGCACACAAACAGGAGTTAACCTATGGCCACGGTAGGCCCCGCCCCGCCCTACGACCAGCCCTGTCCGGCCGCCTACCCAAACCTTCGCTAGCCCTGCCGCTGGACTTGACTGAGACGCACTCCAGAGGCCTTGGCGTGGCCTTCCGGGCCCTCGTGTTCGCGCCTGCCCTCTGCGGGGCCCTGGGAGCACCCAGGCGTGTAACACGCCTGCCGGGTAACGCGACAAGCACAGAGGCTTGTGACCCGGCCCTGCCTCCACGCCCACAGCTGCTAGCACTTTCCCTACTAACTGGGAACCCCGAGGCGATCACAGCCGTGGGCTCGCTCGGAACCACCCTGCACCCCACAGCCTGGCCCAGTGGCTTCCCCGCTGGCCTGTCCCCTCCTAGGCTGAGTGTGCTGGGCGGTGGGCAGGGGCCCAGGCACCTGTGTGGACCTGGTATGGGCGACCAGTTGCTTTGGGCCGGCTGTCTGCTGTCTGCCCTCCTCCCGCAGCCCTCCAGCCAGGCTCCTTATCACCATCACCGCCTGCAGGCCATTCTCGGCCCCCCCCCCGCCCCCCCATCTGGCTGCTTCTGGGGCCTTCACACCCTGCCGGCCTCCTCTGGGCCGGGAGACGCCCTTCTCCTCCCTTCTCGGCTGCTCTCTCCCTGCTTGGCCGGGGCCTCCAGTGCTGGGGCTCCACCTGGGCCCAACCCGGGGCCCTGTGCTCCCTCCCCGCCCTGCGTGCCCACCTCTGTCAAGGCAGCTTCACGCTCTCGGGCCCAGTGCCTGGGCGCCGCCGTCCTAGGGGCCTCCCTCTCCCTCGCAGCAAGGCCCCGTGGGCTCTCCCTCCAGGGTACATCATTTTGTGTTCCTGCCCCTTTGCGGGGGGGGGGGGGGCGGTGACGCTGCTGATGGGGAGCGACTGCCAGGTGGGGGTGGAGACCAGGTGGGGGCTGTGAGCACCAGCTGGACGCCGTGCGGAGAGGAACAGAGGGCGGCCGAGCTCGGGCGGGCGAGTGGTGAGTGACCGGCCTGGCTGCTGTTCCCGGATCTCCGTGGGCCGCTCCAGGAGCCTCCTGAGCCGTGCTCCTGGCCTCCCAGGGCTCTCGTCTAGCCCCCCACCCCGGCCTGCTGCCTGCCACGCCACTCACCTGGGCTAGGCGAGCCTCCCCTTGGGTGTGAGCAGAGGCCAGGGAAAACACACCCGGGAGCTAGAAGGCCCATCCCAGGCCAGCAGAGCAGCCCGGGGCAGAGCCTCCTGGAGTGTGACCTTAGGCGAGTCACTTCCCCTTTCTGGGTCACTGTCCACCTCTCACTGCACTGTCCCCGCCCCACCATAACAATGACTTTTTTCCTGGCCATGTACGGTATACCGGATTGATAACCCAGTGTTTCCTCCATACACCTGCTCGGCAGCCCAGCACTCCTGCCATGGTGGTAACCGACCGGTCAGTGTTACAGAAGGGGAGACTGGCTCAGAGGGGGCCGGGCCTTGCCCAAAGCCCTCAGTGAGACGCGGTCAGCATGTGGGCAGCCACTGCTGGGCTGGGGCGGCAGGGGGGCGGTTAAGGGGCACTGGCGCTCCGCAGTGGGACGGAACCTACCTCCATGGTGGCTGCTGCGGCTCGGCTGCCGCTGCTGGTGACTGGCGTCCCCCCGGGGGCCTGAGGGCCGGTCCCCTGTGGGGCTGGGGCCCAGGCCCCTCTCGGCAGAGCTGGAGTCTTCCTGCTCACTGGGCTCAAACTCTGGGATCTGGAACATGCTCTGGGCTGTGGGACAAGACAGCAGGGCGTCAGGACACAGGAGGGGCAGACGGTCGCTGTCGGGGACGGCGGCAGGTGCGCCTGGCTCCCTCTTCCACCCCGGCACCCCGAGGCCCCCTGGGTCTCCCCAGGCCCTTCTCTCTCTAGGCCTGGCCCGGCAGGGGCACCCGAATCTCGGCATGGAGTTCTGGTGCTGTAGGGGCAGCCCGGGGCCCTTACCCAGGCCCCAGCCCGACCCAAGCCGCCGGGGGGCGACGCCGCACAGGCCTCACCCCGCGCCCGGCCGAGGCCCCCGACCCGGCTCCGCCGCCTCCCTCCAGGACCGAGGGCGCCCAGCCTTCGTTGCCTGGGCAACGGGAACTGTCAGCGGCCCGGCCCAATCAGCTCTCGAAGTGGAAGCCGGGTTGGCCCGGAGGCGGGGCCGCCTCCACCCGCGACCTGCCCGGGCCGCCGCCTTCCTCCTCGGTCCCCCCGGGCCGCCCGAGGCTCCGCTCCTGACTTACTCACGCCCTGGGCGTGTGTGGGAGCAGGTGAGGGAGCCCCTGGGGTCCCCGCGTGGGACCCGGAGGCCCGCTTCCGCCGACGAGCCCCTCGGGGCCCCCCACTGCGGAGTCGGGGCGACGGCGGCGAGGCGCCTCTCCCCGGGAGCCAAGTACAAGACACTCGTAAACAGTGGTGATTACTGTAGGTGAAAGGACTTGGCAAAGCCGCCAGCGAAGCTCCGCGGTCGGATGCAGTTGTCGTTGCTATTGTTACTGTTCCGCCCGCACTGGGCGACCCGGGCGGGAAGTCCCGCTCCCTCCTCCTCCTCCTCCTCCTCCTCCCCTGCGTGGAGGCCTCGGGCGGCCCGCCGGAGGGCCTGCTCCTCGCGCCGTCTCGGGATCACTCGAGATAAGGCAGGGCACCTCCTCCCCGGCAGGATGAGGGCCCGGGCGCGGGAGAAGGGACAGGGGCCCCGGTGAGGGCGAACCGTAGGCCTCGAGGGGCTCCGCGTCTGGCAGGCGGCGCGCGGGCGGCCGGCCAGGTGAGCGGGGGCCGCGCGGGCCAGGGCGAGGGGCGCGCCAGCGGCCCTGCGGGGCAGCTTCGGGGTCCCGCGGGTGGGGGGCCGGGGGGCGGGGCCCGGAGGCCATCTTGGCTACGGGCGGAAGTTTCCCTCGGAGGCTGAGTGAGGGGGCGCCGTTGCCGCCTCCGGCCGGGCGGCGCAACACTGATTTGGGGATGGGGGCGAGAGGTGTAGGGGCTCGCGGCCCTCCACAGACAAGCCAGGTCTGGTGGCGCAGGGCGCAACCCGGCCGGGCGCCCCCCAGGTACGGCGCGGCCCCCGCCTCTCCTCCGCCCGCCGCTTCTTGTAACCCGGGGCGCCCGCCGGCGGCGCACCTCGCGCCGATTCTCCACTGAGTCTACGCCGGGCGCGGCGCGGGGCCGCAGAGCTGGGGCCGGCCCCTGCGCAACTGGCGTAGCGCACGGCGCCCGCGCAGGCGCAGGAGGGGGCGGAGCGGCGGGAGCCGGGGTGCCCGAGCCCGGGGTCCCGGCGACCGGAGCCGGCTCCCCCGAGCCGCGCACGGCCTGAGGACTTGGCATCGGCCTCTTCCCGCCTCCCGCGGCTGGGGAGTGGACGCGGTGGGAGGGGGCGGCGTCCGGATCCCGGAGGACACAGGCGGAGGCCCCGGCCCCATCTGGATAATTTTAGGGGCGAAAGCCCCTCCCCCCCAGCTTGGGGAGAGGGAGAGCGAGGCTTCGGTCGCCCCCTGCAGCGGCCGCTGCCCGGAGCCGATGGGCCTCGGCCGGCTCTCCCCCTCCTACCGGGACGGCAAGAGAGACCCAGGCCAGGGACGCCCCTGCACCCTGCACCCCGCATCCTCGGCTCTGGGGCCTGCCGAGGGAGGGAACACCCCCGACCCGGCCTGCCCTGGAGGGGAGAGAGATGGAGTGAGAGGCCCGTCAAGGGCGAGAGTCTCTCCTTGAGGAGGAAGGGCCTGCCACACTCCACTCCCGAGCCCTGCACCCCCGAATACCCGCGGCTCTGTATTTATTCGCCCGGCCCCCTGTCTCCTGGATTCAGGCCCCCTCCGTGCCATGGAGAGTAACCTGTCCGGCCTGGTGCCGGCCGCGGGACTGGTGCCTGCGCTTCCGCCGGCGGTGACCCTGGGACTGACGGCCGCCTACACCACCCTGTACGCCCTGCTCTTCTTCTCGGTCTATGCCCAGCTCTGGCTGGTGCTGCTCTACGGGCACAAGCGGCTCAGCTACCAGACGGTGTTCCTGGCGCTCTGTCTGCTCTGGGCGGCCTTGCGAACCACGCTCTTCTCCTTCTACTTCCGAGACACGCCCCGCGCCAACCGGCTGGGGCCCCTGCCCTTCTGGCTGCTCTACTGCTGCCCTGTCTGCCTGCAGTTCTTCACCCTGACGCTTATGAACCTCTACTTCGCGCAGGTAACGGGCCGGCGCGGGTGGGGGTGGCGCGCCCTGCGGCCCCGGGCTGACCGGCGTCTCTGCTGCAGGTGGTGTTCAAGGCCAAGGCGAAGCGGCGGCCGGAGATGAGCCGCGGCTTGTAAGTACCGGGTGTTGGTGGACTCTGGCCCCCAGGTGTAGGCCAGGGCGGCCCAGGGAGTGTGGGGGCGTGGACTGCGAGGGGAGGGTTTGTCTCCCTGTGGCCTGTGATGGGAGCAGCTGGAGCTCACCCAGAGCCTTAACGCGCACGTGGGCGTGGGCTGGGGGCTGGGGGGCGGCTGTCATCTCTGTTGGCAAGGGGCGGCCGCGTGCTCAAGGTCACAGAGGTGGCCAGGGCGCAGGCCCGCGTCTCTCACCGCCCGCCTGGTGCTCGTCGGGCACCTCCGACCTCTGTGGGCCTCAGTTTCCCCACCTGCGCTTCAGGCGGCGCGCTCTGAGTGGGGGTCCCCCGGGGAGGCGGGGCGGCCTGGGCTGACTGTGCCGTGGCTGCAGGCTGGCCGTCCGAGGGGCCTTCGTGGGGGCCTCGCTCCTCTTCCTGCTGGTGAACGTGCTATGTGCCGTGCTGTCCCGCCGGCGCCGGGCCCAGCCCTGGGCGCTGCTGCTGGTGCGCGTGCTGGTGAGCGACTCCCTCTTCGTCATCTGCGCCCTGTCTCTGGCCGCCTGCCTCTGCCTGGTCGCCCGGCGGGCCCCCTCCACCAGCATCTACCTGGAGGCAAAGGTGAGGCCCCCGCCGGCTCAGGCCCGCGTGTCCCTTGGGGGCTCTGGGCAGCAGGGGCACAGGAAGCCGGGTGCCGCCTCCGCCTGAGAATCTGTCACCCGTGCCAGGGGACCAGCGTGTGCCAGGCAGCTGCCATGGGTGGTGCCATGGTCCTGCTTTATGCCAGCCGGGCCTGCTACAACCTGGCGGCCTTGGCCTTGGCCCCCCGGAGCCGGCTGGATGCCTTCGATTACGACTGGTACAACGTGTCTGACCAGGTGGGTAGTCGGCACCCCTGGCCCCGTCCCGCCGCCCCTCTGGCTCGGTCGCTGACTGGCACAGCCCCTGCCCCCCACAGGCGGACCTGGTGAACGACCTGGGGAATAAGGGCTACCTGGTGTTCGGCCTCATCCTCTTCGTGTGGGAGCTGCTGCCCACCACCCTGCTGGTGGGCTTCTTCCGGGTGCACCGGCCCCCACAGGACCTGGTGAGGGCCCCTTCCCCCATGTGGGGGGCGAACGGCGAGGGCGGGGCCCCGGGCATCCTGGGCCAAGGCGGGGGCCCCCCAGGAGGAAGCCTCAGTGGGGCTCCCTCTCCGCAGAGCGCCAGCCGCATCCTCAACGGGCAGGGCTTCGGCTCCCGTTCCTACTTCTTCGACCGGGCTGGGCAGTGTGAGGATGAGGGCTGCTCGTGGGAACACAGCCAGGCCGAGAGCACCAGGTAGGAGTCCCGCGGCGCCCCGGGCTCCTCATGGCTTCAGGGGCCACCCAGAGCCTCTGTTCCCCTCCGTGCTCAGGGCAGGTGCAGGAGGCCTGGGCCCCAGGAGCGCTGTCGGGAGCCTCCCTGCCCCTCCCGCTGCTGGGTGCGGCCCCGGGACTGACCCTGTTTCTCTGCCCGCAGCATGTCGGGCAGCCTAGGTTCTGGCAGCTGGTACGGTGCCATCGGGCGAGAGCCAGGCTGGTGCGGGGGCAGCCAGGCGAGGACCACTCCTCTGCTCTTCTCCCAGGTGCCGGGACCCGGCGGCCACCACCACAGCCTCTACTCCACCCCACAGACGTGACTCTCCCCCTCCCCCCCCGGGGTACCCGGCCCCCCCGCCCCCAGGCCCCTGTGCCAAGTTCACCTGCCGCTTCTTGCCCAGGATCCCGGGGCCGGGGCCGCCCACCCCTTCCGGCCGGCTCCTTGCTGCTCCCACCGTAGTGAGCTTGTGCCACCCCCCTAGGACGGGGGGCACAGCCCTGGCTGCCAGATGCCCTCAGCGCCCTGGCATGACTGGCACCTCCGCCTCCGTCCGGAGTCAGCTACCTCTCCTGTGCTGCCACTCAATAAAGTGTCTGTGCCCCCACCGGTTTCCGCTGTCGGTCCTCTGCCCAGGGTCCCCACACCTGATCCCTCGCTGTGGCCTGGCGGGCAGCAGGGGTGAAGCCTGCAGTCCCGGAGGGAAGGGGTGCCCGGAAAGACTTGCTTCTCGGAGCTCTCCTGGCCCACGGCTGCCCCGTCTCACTCCAGGGCCCCCTGCTGGACCCCCACTCGTGATTCCGGGGCCATTATACGTCATAGCCCCACGGATTGGGCGGCTTCCCTACCGCCACCCCCATGCTGGCCTGCGGGTGCCAGGGTTAGTCCAGGACCTGCAGAGGAGCCGTTGGCGTGGTGGCTGAGAACACGGGGGCACGGCACTGGCTGTGTCTGCCTGGGGGTCCTGGGGGCCCCCTTTCCGGCTGCCTCCCCTTCCAGCCCTGGCAGATGTGTCTTGGGGCTGGCAGGCCTTTACCCGAGGGTCTGTCTCCCAGCCAACCCCTGCCGCCCGAGTTCCTGGGGCCTAGCGCTGAGCTAGCCTGCAGATCCTTCCCTCGGGACCACCCCCGGCAGCAGGCCTGTGTGGCCTCCAAGAGGGCGTCTAGGACTTCAGCTGGGAGGTGGACATTTTTAACTTTTAAAGAATTTATTGAGGGACCAGTGCTGTGGTGTAGTGGGTAAAGCCGCCGCCTGCAGTGCCGACATCCCATATGGGTACCGGTTCAAGTCCTGGCTGCTCCACTTCGATCCAGCTCTCTGCTGTGGCCGGGGAAAGCAGTAAAGATGGCCCAAGTATTTGGGCCCCTGCACCCTTGTGGGAGACCTGTGAGAAGCTCCTGGCTCGGAATGGTCCAACTCCAGCCGTTGCAGCCATTTGAGGAGTGAACCAGGGGATGGTACACACCCTCCGTCTTTCTCTCTCTCATTGAAAATTGAGCCCATGTCCATTCCTGTCATTGTACCAATGAAAGTTTTCTGAGACAAGATTTATTTTTTTTTAAATGGGGTTGGCGCTTGCTGCAGCGGAAAAAGCTGCCGCCTGCAGTGCCCACATCCCATATGGGCCCCGGTTTGAGTCCCAGCTGCTCCACTTCTGATCCAGCTCCCAGCTATGGCCCAGGAAAGCAGTAGAAGATGGCCCAAGTCCTTGGGCCCCTGCACCCTGTGGGAGACCTCAAAGAAGCTCCTGGCATCAGACTGGCCCAGCCTCAGCCATTACGGCCATCTGGGGAGTGAACCAGGGGATGGAAGACCTCTCTCTCCTCTGCCTCTCCTCCCTCTATGTAACTCAGATTTTCAAATAAACATTTTTTTAAAAAGCTTTTAAAAATGTATTTATTGGGGCTGCTGTTGTGGCGTGGCAGCTTGGGCTGGGCATCCCACATGGGCCCTGGTTCGTGTCCCGGCTGCTCCACTTCCGATCCTGCTCCCTGCTAATGTGTCTGGGGAAGATGGCCCAAGTGCTTGGGCCCCTGTACCCACACGGGAGACCCAGAAGAAGCTCTTGGCCCTGGCCTTTGTGGTCATTTAGGGAGTGAACCAATGGTTGAAAGATCTGTCCCTCTCTCTGTAAATCTGCCTTTTAAATAAATAAGTTTTATTTTAAAAGATTTATTTATGTGAGAGATAGAGTCACAGACAGCGGGAGACAGGGAGAGAAGTCTATCCACTGGCTCACTCCCCACATGGCCGCAGTGGCCGGAGCTGCGCCGATCCAAAGCCAGGAGCCAGCAGCTTCCTCCAGGTCTCCCACGAGGGTGCAGGGGCTCAAAGACCTGGGCCATCCTCCACTGCCATCCCAGGCCATAGCACAGAGCTGGATTGGAAGTGGAGCAGCCGGGACTCAAACCGGCACCCATACGGGATGCCGGCACCTCAGGCGGGGGCTTAGCCTATAACGCCACAGTGCTGGTCCCTAAATAATTTTTTTTTAATTATTTACTTCAGAGACAGAGGCGGGGTGAGATAGACACAGGGGAGCTCCTCGCCAGTGGTTCGCTTGCCAATGCCTGCAGCATCTGAGGCTGGGCCAGGCCAGAGCCAGGAGCTGGGCACCCAGTCTGGGTCTCCCGGCGGTAGCAGGGACCCAGCCACTTCAGCCATCACACTGCCTCCCAGGTGCACGTTAGCGGGAAGCTGGAGTGGGGAGTGGGGCCGAGACTCGAACCTGGCAGGATGTGGGTGTTTTAACCAGGAGGCCAAATGCCCGCCTTGACAATCAGTTTTGTTGAAATAAAAATTGCTAGGGCCGGCATGGTGGCATGGCAGGCTAAGCTGCTGCCTGCGACGCCGGCACTGGTTCAAGTCCTGGCTGCTGCACTTTCAGTCCAGCTCCCGAAGAGGATGGCCCAAGTGCCCGGGCCCCTGCACTCACGTGGGAAACCCAGAAGAAGCTTCTGGCTCCTTGTTTTGACCTGGTCCAGTCTGGGCTGTTGTGGCCACTTGGGGAGTGTCTCTCCGCCTTTCAAATAAATTCATTTTTTAAAAATCACTAACATTTAAGAGTACCTTATTGTGCATCCCAGGCTGTTTTGAGCATTTATAAGCCCTGAGCTCTTTAACGCTCAGCACCCGAAGTGATGTCGCCTTTCTCCTGGAGGCCGCCAAAGGAGACTGCAGAGGGCTTGGCACCTCTCCAGGCCCCTTACAGGTAGGCGGTGGTCAGCGGTGGAGCCCACCATGAGAGCGCCCCAGGACCCCGGGACCGAAAGAGGCAAGAGGAGGGTTTTTGGGGAGCCGGGAGGGGCGGGGCGGCTCAGGAGGGCCAAGGTTTGCGGTTCTGGTGGTGAGGAGGGAATGCTGGCACCAGTTCCCGCTCGAATCCGCAGGCAGCTCCAGCCCAGGCCCCTGGGGCGGACTCCCGGGCATGGAGGTGCTGGCGCCCGGTCCCCGGGCGGCCGATTCCGGGCGGCCTCGGCGAAGTCCCCCCACCCTGCTGTCCCGCGGGGGCCCCTCCCTCATGAGTGCTGGGCCCAAGTGCCAGGCGGTCCCCAGGGGCGGGGAGATGAGGGCCTTTCCCGATCCTGTAATGGCCCGGCAGATGCCAGGAGATGAACGCGGTGCCCGCCGGAGACGTGGGCTGCCCGGACCGGGGCGTGCCGCTCGCCCACTGGGGGTCCCGGCCGAGGCTAGGAGGTCGGACCCAGCGGCGAATCCTCTCCGGCTGCTCCACCACCTTCTGCTCCCCACCGGCTGGGACCGGGGAACCCGGCGGGCGCAGGTAAAAGAGCTTCGGGGTGCCGGCGCCGGCGGCGAGGGCGCGGCACGGAAGAAGGCGCGGCGCGGGAAGGGTTAAACGCGGGAGGAGGGGGCTTCGGCGCCGGGAGGGGGGGTCCCAGCCCCGGCGGCCGCCCGCTCCGCCCCTGCTGCCGCCGCCGCCTCCGCGGCCCAGCCGGCACCGGCGAGGCCGCGCGGGAGTCCGGGCCGCAGCCGCAGCGGGGCCGACAGTAAGTGCGGAGAGGACGCGGGGACCGGGGCGGCCTCCTGAGCGGGGGCGCCCACCTCGGGCTCGTGGGCGCCTCCTGGAGCGGGGTGACAGCGCGTCCCGCCGCCCGTCACGCTCCGAGGCGTCGGCGTGAGGACGCGGGGGAGGCGGTGGGAGAGAGAGAGGCGGGTGCGCGGTGTCGGCGGCAGGCGCGGCGCGCGGGCTCCGTGAGCGCACACGTGCGTGCCGGGTCCAGGATGCTTCTGCCTGGCCGGCGCGCCCGTGGAGCCGGGAGTGCCGCGAAGTGCCCCGCCGCAGTGTGCGGGAGTGCGCGGGGCTGCGTGCATGCAGTCCGGCCGGCGCGGCGCCTGCAGTCACAGGGTGGAGCGTGGGCGCGCAGCCCTTTGTGCCCGCGCGTGGCGAAGCGTGCCGGGGCCAGCGTGCGCGTGGGCGCCGCCTCCCGATCTCGCAAAGGCTGACAGCCGTCCCGGGGGCTGCTGCAGCGGCCCGGCCCTCCCGCTCCGCGCCCCGCTCCTCCTGGAAACCGAGTGCCCTTCCTCCCGCTCCCGGCTCTCCTCTGGGCTGCAGCCGGGACCTGCCCCTGGCTTCCTCGAAAGCCCAGCGGGGCGCAGGGGACGCGGGAGGCTCCGGGCGGAGAGGCAGACGCGGGAGGGAGACGCGGCCAAGATGCCGCAGCGGCGAGCGGGGGATGGACCCGCCAGCCCCGGTCTCCCCCTGCGCTACCGACCTCTCCTCGAGTTTCCCTCGGCGCCCCTGTTGCCTCCTCCCGGAAGGCGGGTCCCGCACGCCCCCGCCAGGCCTCCCGCATTCCCTGGCTCTCCCTGCCTCTCCCTAGACAGGCTCGGCCACTATTTCCCCCTCCCGCCCGCCTTCCCCTCCCTACCCGGTGCCCTCCTCTCTTCTCCTACCTTGGAGTTCCCGGGCAGGTAAGGGGGAGGTCGGGGGAGGGGGCTGGGTGCGCCCCAGCCCAGCGTCCAGCCTCGGAGTTGTGGGCAGCAGGGCAAGGACCGAGGGTGGATGTGGGGTCTCGGGCCAGCTTACTGACCCCAGCACCCCTGGTTCTGCCCGCAGTGACCGCCACTCCGCAGGAGCCCCCTGGCCCGGCTCCCCAGGTGGGCAGTGGAGCCGGCCCTGCACCTGGGCGCGCCATGCGCAGCACCACGCTGCTGGCGTTGCTGGCGCTGGTCCTGCTGTACTTGGTGCTGGGCGCCCTGGTGTTCCGGGCGCTGGAGCAGCCCCACGAGCAGCAGGCCCAGAGGGAACTGGGTGAGCTCAGCGAGAAGTTCCTGAGGGCCCACCCGTGTGTGAGCCAGCAGCAGCTGGGGCTCTTCATCAAGGTGCGTGGGCGCCAGAGCCCCCCCCCCCCCACTAACTGCAGGCCAGGGGGCCGTGGGCAGCATCCCCCAGGGGTGGTGGAGGGGGCGCAGACAGAGGCTGTCTGCTACTGTGTTTCTCGCCCTGGGGTCATTTGTTTTCCTCGTTGAGCAGGCCAGGGACTGTGTTCCCAGAGTGTCTCCGTGTGTGCTGGGGGCTGGATGAAGGGGAGAGGAAGGGAGGGAGGCGTGGCGGGAGCCTGGGGGATGCGTGACCTCTGCCCGCTCTGACTCACCTGCCCAGGTTTCCAGATAAAGTGCAGGCCACCCAGCTGACCCGTGAGTGTCAGCTGAACAACCGGTGCCTTTTGATATACAAGCAGGTCCGGTGTAATCTTTCACTCTGCTAAAACCGGCATCCCTGCCCCCACTGGTTCCTTGGATCACAGATGCCTTGGAGAAGCCCAGCCACACTGAACGCTCCCCACGCCGAGCATGTGCTGGGCTGGGGTGCGCCCCCTCTGCCAGTGTGGAGGGGCGGGGTGGGGTGTGGGGGGAGGAGTCCCCTCCTCCCAGGTGGGCGAGTTGGGGTGGGGGGAAATGCAGCCGGCTGCCTGAGCCACTTTCTGCCAGCCTCAGTCGAATGAGGACCAAAAGTGCGGGGCCTCAGCCTTTTGGGGTACAGTCAGGTGAGCCCCTCTGTGGCTCTCTGCTTTCTGAGACGTTGCCATAAAAAAGACATGTGCAAGCTGTGCCTGTAATAAATGAATACTTGCGACCCCCCTCAAAGAGCACCCCTCGTCCCCTGTCCCCTGCCTGTCGTTCGTGGAGGGAGGGGCCTCCATTTTCCATGTGATTCCCAAGGGGACAGAGACTCGGGGTGGGGCCGGGACACAGGCGACCCGACGTTTCCAGAAAGCCCCGCGGCTGTGGTTCGGAGAGGTCTGGGCAGAGAGTGTCTGACCACACCACAGGGCCCAGGGAGGAAGGGCGGCAACCTGACCTACTTTATCTTCAGAACCGGAGTGGGTTTTTCCCTGGATAAGAAAGAAGAGCACGGGGCAGGAACCCAGAAGGGTGGCAGACCTCTGCTTAATTTCTCTTCCATTCCCTGGGTTAGTCAGTCATGCAGCCAATGTGGGCCTACTGCGTGCTAGGTGTGCCGTGCCGCACCGTGTGGGACCCCAGGGAGCAGGTGCAGGGAGGCCTTGCCCTCCAGGGGAGGGCGCAGCACATGGACGAATCACTGTAGTTCCTGTGTGGTGGAGAGGGAGCCTTGTTCCCTCCCTCTCTGTTCAGCACCCATTGCATGCTGGGCCTGGGCTGGGTGCTGGGGACATGGAGGGAGCTGCAGGGGCTTTTGGGAAGAGCTGCTGATGGAAGTGAGCCCAGGGTGGAGACGGGGGGGGGGGGGGCGGCCAGGGACTGCCAGGGAGAGAAACAGCACGGACAGAGGCGGCCGAGCCGGGGAGCTCCAGGGCTGTGCAGACTCCGAAGGTGGCAGATGTCCAGTCACTTGAAGCAAAAATTAGAACACACAGGATGACGAAGGGCTTTTTGCACCCTCAGGAGTGAATTTATTGGAAAAAGTGTTGCAAAAATAAAAATGAAATCGCTTTTCATCAGACACTTCACTTCTTGCTTTTATTAAAAAAAAAAAAAAAAAAGCTCTGTACAGGAAGTGGAAACCTATCGGAAGATGTGGCAGGAAGGCTGCTGTGCCTTGCGTGGGCAAACTGGGGCCCCTGGGGGAGAAGACTGGGCAGCCGGAGGTTTGAGACCAGCCTGAAAAAGGGGCGTGTGCTGGGCTGGCGAGGTCAGCTCTGTGCCACAGACGGCAGCAGCCAGGGCGCTTGGCGCCGCCATCACGTTCCGGAAATTAATCTGGGTCTTGCTAATGAGGACTGCGGTCAGAGAGGGGAGAGGTGTTTCTCACCTTCTGCACTGGCTCTGCTGCTAGGGGGAGGGCCCTTGGGCCGGACCCCCTCCCTGCAAGCACTCTCTAAACACATCCCCCTGCCCGCCAGGACCCACAGGCTGTGTGAGATGAAAGAGAGAGGGACAGACACACAGCCTCTCACTCTGGTATTAATGTCCACTGAGCTTTGGCTGGGACCTCATCAGGCTAGGGTGTGCGTGTGCGCGTGCGCGTGCAGCTCTTCCTGGAGGAAGCTCCTGAACTTGGATGTCTCCAGCGAGAGACAGAGTGAGCATCATTAGGGGCAGTGGGAGGGCGGGGTCTGTGCAAAGCTGGAGACCACAGAGTATGCCCCACCATGGGAAGGTATTTAACAAGTTCAGCGCTTAACGCTGTTACAAGAGCTTTAACACTTCCCAACGTGTCTGTGAGGCACCTGCCACTAGAGAATGAAAAAAAAAAAAAAAAAACTTGCCCAGGGTCACACAGCACCAAGATCTGAACCCAGGCAGCTGGTCCTAGGGACCCTGCTCCTGGAAGCGTGGACGTCTGCTGGGCGGGGCCGGGGGGCCGTATGTGTTTATAGACCATGGTGGAGGTCCCCCGGGGCAGCCTGCAGGTGCGTCTGGCTGCCCAGTGTGCCATAAGGCACTCCTCCCGGAGAGGGCGGGGCTGGGAGTCACGGAGACTAGAAGGAAGCCTGAGGCTCTCCCTCTGCGCCTTGTCCCGCAGGAGGTGGCCGGCGCCCTGGGAGGGGGCGCGGACCCAGAGACCAACTCGTCCAGTAACAGCAGCCACTCGGCCTGGGACCTGGGCAGCGCCTTCTTTTTCTCAGGCACCATCATCACCACCATCGGTGTGGGAGAGGACGGGGCCTGGGGGCTGTGGGGGTGGCCGGGCAAGGGGCCCCCTGGGAGGGGAGGAGGGAGGAGGTGCAGGGAGAGATAGGGCGTGCCAGGCCCTCGAGCTCTTGCCCCACTTCCCTGCCCAGGTTACGGCAACGCAGCCCTCCGCACCGACGCTGGGCGCCTCTTCTGCATCTTCTATGCGCTGGTGGGGATCCCGCTGTTCGGGATCCTGCTGGCCGGGGTCGGGGACCGGCTGGGTTCCTCCCTGCGCCGTGGCATCGGTCACATCGAAGCGGTCTTCCTGGTGAGCCCTTGCCCTGGGCTCTAAAACCCTTTACCGAGGGACCCGGAGCTCCCGGGAGCGGGGGTGGGGTGTGGGAGCGAGGGCGGGCAGCGGCTGCCCGGCCCCGCCTACCGCCCTCCCTGCAGAAGTGGCACGTGCCCCCGGAGCTGGTGCGAGTGCTGTCGGCGATGCTGTTTCTGCTCATCGGCTGCCTGCTCTTTGTCCTCACGCCCACCTTCGTGTTCTGCTACATGGAGGAGTGGAGCAAGCTGGAAGCCATCTACTTTGTCATAGTGACGCTCACCACTGTGGGCTTCGGCGACTATGTGGCCGGTGAGGCCGCCGTCCCCGGGCTCGCGCCTCCCCATCTACCTAGCTCCTGTCCCTCCAAATGCCATGGGCTGTCCATGCAGCCAGGCGGGTGCTCCACCCCCCACACCCATACGGATGCACCACCTCGCTCCTGCACGCCTGTGTCCCATGCATGCTTCCACGCGCTCTTACCTTGCACACTCTTCATGCACACTTCCCTTTCTCCAGCACGGACCCACTGTCCCCCCAACCGAAGAGCTGGGGAGAGGGGCAGGGGACCAGGGCGGCTCACACTCTTGTCGTGCGCGGTCAACTTCTTCCCGCCTTTCCTGGCGCGTCCCAGGCGCTGACCCCCGGCAGGACTCTCCAGCCTACCAGCCGCTGGTGTGGTTCTGGATCCTGCTCGGCCTGGCCTACTTCGCCTCGGTGCTCACCACCATCGGGAACTGGTTGCGAGTGGTGTCCCGGCGAACTCGGGCAGAGGTATGCGCCCCTCCCGGGGGGCGGGGGTGGTGGCGCTGCGCCTGCGCACTACTGCCTCGTGGCGCTCCCTGCGCCCCCCGCCCGAAGCGTGCTGACCATCCGTCTCCCTTGCACGCACCGTAGGGGCGTCTAGGGACAGCCCTGAGCCCCTGCGGGTGCTCTAACTGGCCAACGCAGACAGGTTTCCGGGCGACGTATTGCCCGTTAAGCGTGAATTTCAGGCCAACAGCTAGTTAATCTTTCCGTGTGCGTACGGCCCATGCAATAGCATGGGGCACCTTAGTATTACAAAAACGGTATTATTTATCCGAAATTCACATTGTACGGTGGACCTGCCCTTTGCCAGGCCCCGGGTGGGGTGCCCGAGGGAGAGCTGCGGTAAACGCCATGGCCTCCAGAGAGGCTGCCCCCAGGACCACGTGGCCAAGAGGCCCGATGGCCGGCCCGTTGGGGACCCGCGGTCCAGACCCCGCCGGGCTAGGACTGCTTCTCCCCACGCAGATGGGCGGCCTCACGGCGCAGGCTGCCAGCTGGACCGGCACGGTGACGGCGCGGGTGACCCAGCGAGTCGGGCCCACCGCACCGCCGGAGAAGGAGCGGCCCCTGCTGCCCCCACCGCCCTGCCTCGCGCAGCCGGTCAGCAAGCCCCCGTCCCCCGCGCCCGCGCCCGCGCCGGAGGAGAAGCCCGAGACGCCGTCCCCGCCCACGGCCTCCGCCCTGGACTACCCCAGCGAGAACCTGGCCTTTATCGACGAGTCCTCGGACACGCAGAGCGAGCGCGGCTTCGCGCAGCCCCGCGCGCCGCGGGGGCGCCGCCGCCCCAACCCCCCAAGGCGGCCTGCGCGGCCCCGGGGCCCCGGGCGTGCCCGGGACAATGGCGTGCAGGTGTAGGGGCGGGACCCCCGGCCCGGGCCTCTCCTCCGGCTCCGTTCCAGCCCCTTTCCCGGCATGCTTGGCTTCTTGGACCAAAGAGCCCGCTTCCGACGCCGCCGCCGCCGAAGCCTGGGGTGGCGGCCGCGGGGTGCCTGCCCGCCGCCCCTCGCCCCTGGCGCATTCCTCACTGCCACCCATTTCTGTGTCGCTGCCCGGACCGGGCCTGTCCCTCACAGCGCCTCACGACTGTGCCTCAAAGCCTGCAACCAATAAAGGGAACCGGTCTGCACCGCAGCGGGCGTGCGCGCTCAGGGGAGCGGGGTGCTTTCCTCGGGCCACCACAGGGGCACGTCCGGCCAGGACCCCTAGGCCGACGCCCTGAGTCTTTGCCTGGGGGCGCCCGGGGAGGGTCCGTCGGTTGGGTCAGCCCCGCAATGGGCTGTGCGTGTCTCCAGCCTCCGCAGACACCGAGGTGGGGGGCGAGGGGTGGAGAAGGGCACCGGCAGCCAGGGTGGGGGCTGCGGTTGGAACTCTCCCGGCGCGAGACCCCCATCACTCCCCACGTCCTGGAGCGTGACCCCGAGAGGCCTGAGGCGGCTGGGTCCGTTGGGGGCAGCACCATGGAGGAGAAGCCTTTCAAAGTGAGGCTTGCTTCCCAGGCCCCTGCCCCCGTCGGCCCCCCACCCCGGCTGCTCCCAGCACCCCCTCCCGGGCCCCCCAGCGCGACGGAGCCCCGACCCGGACGCCCCGGGCTCCCCTCGCTGTGTGTGGTCCGCAGGTGTCGGTCAAGCCTCAGGAGCGCCGGAGCTCCGGCCGGGCGAGCCCTCAGGACGACATCCGGAACCTGTGGACCACGGCCACGCTGTCGCAGTCGCAGCTGAACCTGCCGCTGGCCGAGCTCTGCGAGAGCTTCGACGAGGGCGGAGCCGTGCGCCACGCGGCGGCCGCCTGGCTGGAGAGCCGGTGGGAGCTGGGCGAGCAGGGGGCCGCCCAGCCCGACGGGGCCAGCGTCGAGTCCGAGGCGCTGGAGCAGGAGCTGCGCCGCGAAAGCTCCCTGGAAAGCTGCTTGGAGGAGGGCGACGAGTCCAGGACCACGACGGGTCAGTGCGGCCTCGCCGGGTGGCGGGCCTGGCAGGAGCCCCCAATCCCGGGGGCGGGTGGGACGCGTGGGGCACCCAGGTTCTCGGGATTCCCGGCGCCGGCCTTGCCTCGGGCGGAGCGGCCGGACGTTCCTGGAGCGCCCCCTACCGGCGATCCTGCTCCGGACATCGGCCGGCGGCGGGCAGGGCGAGGGGGGGACTTCATCCTTGGGTGAGGATTTGCCCCGTTGACGCGACTGCTGGGTGTGGGCTGCGGTTTTTAAGCATCTGCCACTGTTTGGGACTTGCATCCGCCTTCTCTGTGCCTTCCCCTCCAATTTATTTATTCTTTTAGTATTTCTTAACATTTATTTATGTATAGATGCCATATGCTTTCTTTTTTTGTAAAGATTTGTTTTTTTTTAAAAAAAGATATACATACAGAAGGAGAGACAGAGAGAGGAGAGAGATCTTCCGTCCTCCGGTTCACTCCCCAGATGGCTGGGATGGCTTCCTCTGGGTCTCCCACGTGGGTGCAGGGGCCCAAGCCCTCGGGCCATCTTCCTGTGTTTCCCCAGGCTCATTAGCGGGCAGCTGGATTGGAAGTGCAGCAGACTCTTGCCCATAAGGGATGCTGGCATTATAGGTGGCGGCTTAACCTGCTGTGCCACAACGCCAGCCCCTCCCCCTTTGACGTCAGGGTTCAGACCAGGGTTCAGACCGGTAACAGGTGTAGCCACCGGTAACAGGTGTAATCACCTCTGGAGAGGGGCTCCTGCTAAGCGCCAGTTACCCAGCTTCCCTCCATTACCCACAACCCTCTTCTCTCTCCTCCTAGAGTCTTCACTGGTGTCGGTTCCACGTGTCTCCAGGCACACCCCCCACCGAGCCTACTGGACAGAGCAGCAGAACAGGGTTGGAGGGAGTGGGCAGGGCGGGGTGGCCGCAGGAGTAGGGCAGCAGGGCAGTGGGCAGGGCTGGGTCCCTGGGCGTCTGAGCCTCCCCTCTGCGCCTCCAGCTGCCGCTGCCCCTGGTGGAACTCATGGAGAACGAAGCCCTGGAGATCCTCACCAAGGCCCTCCACAGTGAGCCCCCGACGCCACCAGCGCCCGCAAAAGGTTCTGGTGGATTCCGCGGGGTGTTGCAGGCTGTGCTCCAGGCCCCGGCAGACCCCCGAGCCCCACACAAGTTCAAAGTTGAGGGGCCGAGCTGGCGGGGACCCAACGGGGTGGGGGGAGGCGGGATGACAGCCATGGTGGACCACATGGTGGTCCCTCCCCGGGGGTGGGGCTAGGGAGAGTCAGTGGGGTACCTGGGCGAACTAGTCCCGCAGCTGCTAGGTGTGTCCAGCCGGCCAAGTGGCCAGCTGAGGGCTCAGAGTGGGTGTCCCCAAACCTGCTGGCCCCCATCCCTCTCCCCCTTAACGCCCAGCGCCTTGGAGAGCCCAGGCGCCCCCAGACAGACCCAGGCCCCAGAGCCCTCGCGGTCCCGCCATGGGCGGCCGCGGGTGAGGAGTCCCGGCCGGGACTCACGGCCCCGGGCTGAGCCCCGCCCTCCTCCCAGGCTACCGGCGGGACATCGGCAGGGAGCACTTCCTGACCAAGGAGCTGAAGCGATACATCGAAGGGCTCAAGAGGCGCCGGAGCAAGAGGTTCCAGGTCTCGGTGAACTGAGACACACACCGCCCGGCTCAGGAGGGGCGGCCTGCCCCCGCCCTCCCCGGCCCCCAGCCCGACCCCGACCCCGAATGTGTAGAACTCGAGCCCGAAAGCAATAAAAGAGTCTGCACGTGCGAGAAATGAAAGTCCCTGCAAGTGCGTGAGCCAGTGCGTGGCAGCCGCGGGAGGCGGACGCACGTGGCCCCGCCCCTCCCCGTGACCTTCACTCGGTCACCGCAGTGACCTTGAGCTGTCGCCGACCGCGTCCTATCGGCCCTGCTTTCCCGGGACTCGCAATCCGGGGCGCCCCGCGCGTCTGAGGTCTGCTTCTCCCGCCTTGGGCCACGCTGCTTGGTGGGGACACCGCGTCTGCGGCTCAAGCGCCCGTGGGTGTCGTCTTGGGGGAAGGGGAGAGACAGGGGCAGCGCCTCCCCCTTGCAGGGGGAGCTTAGGCCCCGCCCCTTATCCATATGCAGATATCCCGGGCTCCCGCTCGCCCCACCCTCTCATTTTCATACGCTTGCCCCGCCCCTGCGGCCACTGAGCGACCTCGCCCGCCCCTCTCGCGTACAGTGCGCCCCGCCCCCTCCGTGACGAAAGCGCGCTCCCGGCCCCACCCTCTCCGGGTTCTGCTCCCTGAGCCCCGCCGCGCCTCCGGCCCCGCCTTCCGACCGCCGCGTACGCAAGCGCGCGGCTGCGGGGCGTGACCTGCGCGAAAGCCCGCCCCCTGGCAGGGCAGGCTCCGCCCTGAGTCCGCCGGGCACGCAGGCGCCGCCCGCCCCGCTCGTCTGATTAGCATAGCGCGCCGGGCCCCGCCCCCTGCTTTGCATGCGCACGGCCGGCCCCGCCCCCGCTGTCAGCTGGAGGAAGCGGAGTAGGAAGCGGCCGCGATGTCCTTTTGTGTCCTACAAGCAGCCAGCGGCGCCGCCGAGTGAGGGGACGCGGCGCGGCGGGGCGGCGCGGCCCGCGGAGGCGACGGAGGAGGGGCCGCCGCAGCCCCCGGCTCACCCCGCCGCTCCGGCCGCTCGGCCCCCATGCCTGCCCGCCCGCCCTGCCGGAGCCCCAGGTCCGGGGGCGGAGGGGAGCGCTGCTGCGGGGGCGGGCGGGCGGGGCGCGGGGGCCATGTGCGAGCGGGGCGGGGAGGCGGCCGGGGGGCGGGCTCCTGGCCGGCCCGGGTCACGGCCGGGACTGGTCCGGTGCCAGACGGGGTCAGGGTCCGGGCGGGATCCGCGTCCGGGTCCTGGGGGGCCGGCCTGGGCCAGGGTCTGGCTCGTTGCTTGGGCTGCGGGTGCTGGCTCGGGCCGGGCCTGGGCCCCAGTCCAGCCCCGGGGCAGGTCCATTCCGGCACCGGAGCGGGCCGGGGAGGCAGATGGGGAGGGTTCTCGGTCTGGGAAGGGGCTCGGAGGACCACGTGGGGGCGCTCGAAGGGGCTCGGGCCACCCTCCGCTCTGGGTCAAAGGTCGCCGCACCGGCTGGGGCAGACTTCTTCCTCTTCGGTTCTCCCCGTTTACTTCCTGATAACCTGATAGAGGTCCCCCGCGGGCGGAGGGGGAGGGGAGGCGAGCAACTTGAGGCAACTTCCCAGAGGTGTGCGCGGGGTGGGGGGCTGGCGCCCCGCGAGGCGGCCGCGCGTGCCCGGCCGGGGATCTGGGACTGGGCGTGCTGGGACAGGAGGGTCCGGGTGTCAGGTGTGAGGCTCTGTGGGACCCTGAGGGCCTGGGGAGAGGGGGTGGGCGCCGGCGTGTGGCTCTCACCTGCAGTGGGAGTTTGTTCCGCGGGCAGCGTGCCTGCAGGAGGGGAGGGAGAGCCCGAGCGGGTCTGGGGTTTGGGGAAGGCCGGGTATGAGTGTGAAAGTCCCTGGTATGGGCACGTTGGGGCCACTGGGGACCCAGGTGGGTGGGAGGGTGTGGCCCCGAGTGTGAGCAGGACACCTGCCCGTGGGCCTGTGCGCCTGCGAATGCTCCTTTGAATGGAGGGGCCCAGATGACGGCCGAGCACGAGGTCCCCTGGACATCAGGGTGCCTGGTGGTTCCCCTGGGGGCTGAGGCTGTCCTGCTCCCTGCCTGGGGGGGAGCAGGGGGTGTCCAAGCTCCTCCCAGCCTCCCAGGAGTGAGTCCTGCTGTCAGTTACTGGCCCTGGGGGCACTGGAGTCTCTGTTCCCATGGCAACACCTGGGGGCACCCTCACTTCATGGGCAGCCCTGCCTTGGACTCTGTCCCCCGCCTCTCCCGCCGTGGGGCCTGGGAGCCTGGCCTCGGGCCCAGGGTTGGGCAGCCTGTCCTCAGCGCCCACCCCCACCCCGGTTCTGGCGCCTTCCACGGCCTGACAAGTGTTTCCCTGCAGGTGACCAGCGCCATGTCCAGCCAGGTGGTGGGCATTGAGCCTCTCTACATCAAGGCAGAGCCAGCCAGCCCCGACAGTCCAAAGGGTTCCTCGGAGACTGAGCCCGAGCCCCCCGTGACCCTGGCCCCTGGGCCAGCCCCTGCCCGCTGCCTCCCAGGCCACAAGGAGGAGGAGGATGGGGAGGGGGCTGGGCCTGGCGAGCAGGGTGGGGGCAAGCTGGTGCTCAGCTCCCTCCCCAAGCGCCTGTGCCTGGTGTGCGGGGATGTGGCCTCCGGCTACCACTACGGCGTGGCGTCCTGCGAGGCCTGCAAAGCCTTCTTCAAGAGGACCATCCAGGGTGAGCCCCCACCCCCCCATTTGCCCTTTGCCCTGTTCCCTGTGGGTGTCATGGGGCCCCTGGCTGCAGCTTCCAGGTGAGGTAGCCCCCCTAAAAGTGAAGTGCAGGTGGATTGGGGTGGGGCGGGAGACAAGACGCGGGGGGCCCCTCATCTTCGCCGGGGGTTCCCCAGATCCAAGGCGGCCCCTGCGTGTCCCCAAACGTTGTTCTTGCTCCTGGTGGCCGCGGACTCTGCCCAGAGAGGGTCATGTCCCCCCGTTTTGCATTTCCCCAAAGCAGTCCCAAGCCCAGGCAGGCTCTTGGAAAGACCGCTAGGCATCTGTGGCTTGGAGGTCGTTGATTTTTATCCTCACGTCCGAGTTCAGGGGAGTGAGCGAGGCGCGGACGTCAGTGGCTTGTTGTTTTTGTTTTTATATAACTATGGTGACTCTGGAGATAACGTAAAACACAACAAACAACTGCGGGCTGCTGCACGTTCTCATGACGTCACCGCACACACACACACACACACACCCGCCTCCTGGTGTCAGCCGGTGTCGCGCCTGAGGTTCAGGAGGGCTTTTGTGTCTTTTTCACATCTCACAGGTAGAAAAGAGCAGAACCGGGACTTTTTTTCCTAAGATTTAGCAAGTAGAGAGAAAGAGATCTTTCATCTGCTGGTTCACACCCCTGTCCCCAAGTGTCCCCAGTAGCCAGGGCTGGGCCAGGCCTGGACTGTAACCAGGTCTCCCATGTGGGTGGCAGGGACCCAAGGGCTTGAGCCCTCAGCTGGGCACGGGGAGGAAGCTAGGTCAGAACAGAGGCAGAGCGTGTTCCCAGGAACTCGCTCCGGGCCGCGCGTTTCCCAAACCGCCGCCTAGCTGCTGCGCCACAGCGCCGCCCCAGAACCAGGATTTGAACTTGGGTCAGTGTCGGTGCCCGGCGGCTGCCCCTGTCTCCTGCCGCTGACTGGACTTTGGACGGCTGGCTGTGACATGGCAGTGAGTTGTGTTTTGCCTCGGTGTTAAAGCACCGGTCTCCCACTCCATGCTGCCTGGTGGCTCGGAGGAGCGGCGAGCCCGCAGGCCCAGGCCCGGTGTCTCCCTTGGTTCTGTGTTGCCTGCCAACAGGTGTCTGTCGTGTGCCCGCTCTCGGGGCAGTGAACCCTGCCAGGGGCTCTAGCTGCCTTTGCAGAGTAAAATCGTCCGGTTTTACTGGGTGCAGGGATAGGGCGAGGGCGCACAGCAGTTAGTGGTCACACCTGGGCCGGCCCAGGCAGCCCCAGAAGCCGTGGTATTTCACCAACCCAGCCTTTTGTTGCTTGGACGAGTGTCCTGGGCCCTGGGGACACAGCAGGGACCGAGGCAGGGAGACAAGAACAATGACTTGCACGGAATTGTCCTGGGACGTCTGTGGTATGTGCTGGAAGGTGAGGCGCGAGATGTGTGCCAAAGGACTGGGCTGGGTCTGATCTGGAGGGCTTCCCCGAGGAGGTGTCTTGACCCGAGGGCAGCAGCCCGAGCAGGGCTAAGAGAAAGCCCATCGTGGGGAGAAATGGGCCGACGGCGTGGTGGCTGCTGGTGCCGTCGCGTCCTGCAGTAACCCGTGAGGCTGGGCGTGCCGCCAGCACCCACTGCGTCCCAGGCTGTGGCCAGTGCTGGGGAGCCGGGGCCCGGCAAGGAGTTCCGATGGAGCACAGTAGATTGTGCTAGCGGCCGGAGAGGGGCTCGGAGGCCAGGAGCCGTGTGCAGAGGGGCATCGCCGTGGCAAGGCCTCAGAGGTGCAGAGGTGTGGGGGCTCCAGACAGGACACGGCTGTCCCAAGGGACACAGGCGAGGGCGTGCAGGTTGCGCAGGCCCTGTAGCCCAAGGGAGCACCTGGCTGGACTTGGAGGGTTTGAGCCGAGGGCGCCTGTGCAGGCGGCACGCAGAATCCAAGTCTATCCCGGGCTCGTTCTGAAGCCGAGAATTCCGTGTGCCCACGAGGGATGCCCTGGAAGCCCACGTGGGCCCCGGCAGACACGAGGTTTCCCGCCCGGAACAGTCCCCGTGCCTGTGCTGGGTAGAAAGTGGGGACAGCGGGGGGAGGCGCTGTGACCAGGACTGGGGTCAAGGGTGGGAGCAGATGGCGTTGGACCCTACAGTCCACCTGTGCTGGCCCGCTGTGGGGCGTGGGGGGAATCAGACGGCACAGGCTTCTGCCCGAGCGGCCGGACAGGCTGAGGGCGCGGCTGGAGGACCCGTTAGGAGGCGGCTGCATGTGAGTGGGGAGTCTGGGGCCGATGGAGGGGCAGGGAGATGCCCGAGGTGGCAGGAGAGGGGGCGACCTGGGCGTCCCAGAGGCGCAGAGAGAGGAGGCAGTGTCTCCAGGAGGGGGAGATCCGAGGCGTCAGGGGCTTTCCGGCCAAGCGAACTGAGGCCTGAGTGGACCATTGCACTTAGCCACGCAGAGGTGACCGCGAGAAGCCGCAGGGCCGCAGGCCGCGAGGTGTGGCTTGCCCACAGGCGGGCCCCCAGTCCCTCCCCTGGCCCCTGCTCACGCACCCCAGACCTCTGCTGGCCCCGGGGCGAGTCAGGGCTGTCCCGCCTGCCAGGCGGGCCGCCGTGGGCCCCGGGAGGCGGCCACTGGAGCCCGCTGCCTCTTCCTGGCAGGAAGCATCGAGTACAGCTGTCCGGCCTCCAACGAGTGTGAGATCACCAAGCGGAGACGCAAGGCCTGTCAGGCCTGCCGCTTCACCAAGTGCCTGCGGGTGGGCATGCTCAAGGAAGGTGAGCGCCGAGGGGCGGGGGGGGGGGGCGGCGAGGGGGAGGGGAGGGCGCACGCAAGCCGCCCCAGCCCCCTCACCGCCCGCCCTGCTGTGCCATCCAAGGAGTGCGCCTGGACCGCGTCCGGGGCGGGCGACAGAAGTACAAGCGGCGACCAGAGGTGGACCCCCTGCCCTTCCCCGGCCCCTTCCCCGCCGGCCCCCTGGCTGTAGCTGGAGGCCCCCGGAAGACAGGTGAGAACACCCTGGGTCCCTAGCGCTTGGGGCGGGCTGGGGCGGGGCCAGGAGGCAGCACCCCGCAGCGCAGCGGTTAGCGGGCATCACTTCCCCACTCCCCCAAGGGGCGTTTGTGCAAATGCGCTTCTCTGCACCAGGCACTGAGTGGAACGGCCGCGAACTGAGAAAGGTTTTAAGATTTATGTATTTATTTGGAAGGCAGACTTACAGAGAGAGGAGAGACAGAGACACACTGCACCCGCTGGTTCACTCTCCAAATGGCCGCAACAGCCAGGGCTGGGCCAGGCCAGAGCCAGGAGCCAGGAGCCAGGAGCAAGGAGCCAAGAGCTTCTTCAGGGTCTCCCACACAGGTGCAGGGGCCCGAGCATTTGGGCCATCCTCCACTGCTTTCCCAGGCACAGTAGCAGGGAGGTGGATCAGAAGTGGAGCAGCTGGGATTCGAACTGGTGTCCATGCGGGATGCTGGCTTCTCAGGCAGTGGCTTAACCCTCTGTGCCATGGCGCTGGCCCCTGGAAAAAGGCTTTCTGCCACTCCGAGACTGTCCCCCTGCGGCGCTTCCTGCCGGGCTGGCCGCTGGCGGTTGGGGAAGGCCACGGGGCACAGACCCTGGGCAGATGCCCGTGAGGCCTGCGGGCTGGGAGGGCGCCTCATTCTAGTCTTTTCACCGCTGCCGCAGCCCCAGTGAACGCGCTCGTGTCTCACCTGCTGGTGGTTGAGCCCGAGAAGTTGTATGCCATGCCCGACCCGGCGGGCCCTGACGGACACCTCCCGGCCGTGGCGACCCTCTGCGACCTCTTTGACCGGGAGATCGTGGTCACCATCAGCTGGGCCAAGAGCATCCCAGGTAAAGGGCCTCGGTAGCCCGGGGCTGCCCGGAGCAGGCCAGGCCTCGCCCGGCCCCGGCGCGCCCGCTCAGCCCAGCCCGCCGCCCTCTGCCCTCCAGGCTTCTCGTCGCTGTCGCTGTCGGATCAGATGTCCGTGCTGCAGAGTGTGTGGATGGAGGTCCTGGTGCTGGGCGTGGCCCAGCGCTCGCTGCCACTGCAGGACGAGCTCGCTTTCGCAGAGGACCTGGTCCTGGACGAGGAGGGGGCGCGGGCAGCAGGCCTGGGGGAGCTGGGAGCCGCCCTGCTGCAGCTGGTCAGGCGGCTGCAGGCGCTGCGGCTGGAGCGAGAGGAGTACGTCCTGCTGAAGGCCCTGGCTCTCGCCAACTCAGGTGAGCGTGCGGGGCAGCCCTGCCCGGTCCACGAGGCCCTGCGGTTTGTTCTCCCCACAGGCAGGGGCAGAGAGGCCGCGCTCACCCGCTGGTTCGCACCTTTGACGGGGCCACAGCCGCCAGCCGGGCACGCCAGCCTTCTCTAGGCTTCCTCCGGTTCTAAGGATTTATTTATATATTTAAAAGGCAGGGAGAGAGAGAGACAGGTCTTTCATCCACTGGTTCACTCTCCAAATGGCTGCAAAGCCAGAGTTGGGCAGATCCGAAGCCAGGAGCTTTCCCTGGGCCGGCCCCCAGTGCGGGCGTAGGGGCCCAAGGACCCTGGCCATCTTCTGCTTTCCCAGGCCACAGCAGGGAGCTGGATGGGAAGTAGAGCAGCCGGGACTCAAACAGGCACCCACACGGGATGCCGGCGCTGCAGGCGGTGGCTTTACCCGCTGTGCCACAGCGCCGGCCCCTTCCTCCGGTCGTATGCGGGTGGCGGCACAGTCCCAGTCTGCAGCAGAGGGATCCGAGGCTTATGGAGCCATGGTGACTTGCTCAGTCACGGAACACGCCAAGGCAGGCCTTGCAGTGACACAGGGTTCTGAGCCGTGTGTCGAGTTCAGTGGGGGAGACAGGAGGTGGCTGGGGTGCCCGGCTCAGGAGCAGCCGAGTGATGTCTGGCTCCTGCTCAGCCCGCCCGGGCCTCGGCTGTCCCCTCTCCTTGCAGACTCTGTCCACATCGAGGACGCCGAGGCCGTGGAGCAGCTCCGAGAAGCCCTGCACGAGGCCCTGCTGGAGTACGAAGCCGGCCGGGCTGGCCCGGGAGGGGGCGCCGAGCGGCGGCGGGCCGGCAGGCTGCTGCTCACGCTCCCGCTCCTCCGCCAGACCGCGGGCAAAGTGCTGGCCCACTTCTACGGGGTGAAGCTGGAGGGCAAGGTGCCCATGCACAAGCTGTTCCTGGAGATGCTCGAGGCCATGATGGACTGAGGCCAGGGGCGGCACGGCGGGCGCTGGCGGGACCTGCCGGCACGGGGTCGGCCCCGAGGGGCAGAGCTGGGGTCTGGGCAGTGCCGCAGCCTGCTGGCAGGGCCGGGGCAATGCCACCAGCCCCTGGGAGCAGGCCCCACGCCCTCCCCTCCCCCTCCGAGGGGGTGTCGCAAGCTGGGAACGTGTGCGCCCAGGCTTTGGGCAGTGCTGCCCTTGCAAGCCATAATGAGCCCCCAGAGCCGAGGGGCCTTGCGGAAGCCATAGGGGGCCGCGGGGGCCGCGGGGAGGCAGATGCTGACCTCAGGGAGGGAAGGGCATGGAGGCCACAGGCTCCCGGCGGGTGACGCTTCTGCTGCTGCTTAGTCCACCCTCTCCTGAGCAGAGGGGCCCGCGGAGAGCGAAGGCCCTGCCCCCTCGCTCCTCTCCTCCTCATCTGCATTGGGCCTTCGTGCCCCCCTTGAAGCAATAACTCCAAGCAGGCTCCAGCCCCTGGACCCCTGGGGTGGCCAGGCCCCCCTCCCCCCAGCTCCTGCGCCTCCTCAGGGGGCAGGGACAGCACCGCCTCTGTGCCCTGCAGAGCAATAACACTATATTTATTTTTGGGTTTGGCCAGGGAGGCGCAGGGACCTGGGGCAGGCCGGGGCCCAGAGCCCGCGGCTGTACAGAGACTCTATTTTAATGTATATTTGCTGCAAAGAGAAACCGCTTTTGGTTTTGAACCTTTAATGAGAAAAAAATATATATATACTACGGAGCGCAAACCACCGCGTGTGCAGTGTGTCGCTGGGGGAGGGGCCGCGCGGGCGGGGCGGGGCGGGGGCGGCGGTCAGCTCTCGGTCTCCTCGTCGCTCAGCAGCATGTTGGGGATCCCGCGGCTGATGGGGAACAGCCGTCCGGACTCCGGGCACTGCAGCGTCCCCTCCAGCACCTCCACCTGCGGGCGGGAGGCGCGGCTGAGCGGGAGGGCGCGGGCGGGGCGGCGCGGGGCGGGGCGGGGGCGCGCGCGCGGGCTGTCACCTCCAGCAGCACGTGGTGCATCTTGCGCAGAAACGCCTCGTCGCACTCGTAGCCCTCCACCGGCTCCTTGGGCACCTCCGCCAGGTGCAGCTGCGGGCGAGAAGCCGGCGTCAGCCCCCGCTCGCCGCCCCCGGCCTCGGCCCCCCACCCCCGGGGTCCGCGCGGCGCGGCCGGGGGCCTCACGGTGTTGGCCGCCTCCAGGAGCGCCGCCCACTCCACTTTGGGGATCATCCGCGCCACGAAGGTGGGGTTGAACTCCACAGGGTTGATGCGCACCTCGGTGGCCTGCGGGGCAGAGAGCGTCAGTCGCGCGGGGGCGGGAGCCGCGCACCGGGGCCGGAGGCCGCCCCTGCCCCTACCTGCAGGCGTAGGGGGAAGCCGCGGGGCCCCACCCCCCGCACGTGGGAGCTCAGCAGGTTGTGGGTGAGCAGCTTCATGTCGCCGCCGGCGCGCTCGCCAGGCCGGAACCGGAACACCAGCCGCTCCGCTCGCGCCACTTCCGGGGCTGCCCCGGCGGGCCGGAAATGGCGAACGTGCGGGCACTTCCCGCGTTCGCCGGAACAGGCGGTGTGTGGCAGACCCGGGCGGGTCACGCGCTGGCGAGGCGCGCGTCGAACAAGGGATGCGAGTGCGCGCCGGTGCGGCTGCTGCACGCGTGTGGCTCCTCCACGCGTTCCTCACACGGCGTCTCCCGGCCCGTAAGCCACGCCTCCTCAAGTGCTGATGAGCGAAGCCCCGCCCCAATGCAAATGAGCCTGGCGTCCCGGAAGCCCACGCCTGCGCGGTGGAGGCGGCTCGCCGGGGGCGGGGCGCAGCAGGTGCCCCGACCATCGCGGTCACGTGGTCACGGGCCCGCCCCCGCCCGCCCCCCGCTGAGGGGCGGGGCTGCTGCGGCCGTGAGAGGGCATGGGACTGGCCGGGCTGCGCGTCCTGGGACACCGGGCGGGCTCGGTGCTCTCGGGTGCGGTCGTCCGCGAGAGTGCAGCGGCGGCGGCTGCAAGACGGCGACTTGGAGCGGGGCGTGCGCTCTGTGGAACCCGCAGTTTCAGCGGCGCTGCCGTAGTCATGGCTCCGATCAAGGTGACCGCCCCTGGCCCCCGGCTTCCCAAGGGCGCCCCCGGCACGCTCGTCTGGGGTGTCGCCGCCTTTCCTTCCCTTGGGTTCCCTCGGAGACCCCTCCTCGCCTCCCCGCCGCCGCCCTGGAGTCCCTGCCACCTGCGCCTCGTCCCCTCTCCCGACCCCTGGCTGCCCGCTGCTCTCGCGGGTTCCAGGGGCCTGGTGTCCAGTCGCCTGGGACCGCCCCGAGCCTGCGGCGCCGCGCCGTTCTGGGGGAGCTGACTCCATGGCCTCCCCCCCAAGCCATCTCCGTTGCCCCAGGGCCTCCCCTCGTCGTGTCCCCCACGCCTTTGCGATGGTGCTGGGCCCCCCGCACCCCGCCTTGGCCGAGAGCCCAGTGGTGCCCCAGGCCCCCTCCAGGGCCGATGCCCACCCCTCTGCCGGCGTCCTCCACGCGTCTTCGGGACCCAGCCCCAGCCCCTGCCCTGAGGGCCCCTGAGACGCGGGGGACTCTTGCTCCCCTCTGTCCACCTCCTCTGGGCCCTGGACGCCCGCACACACTCCCAGGCACACTTCCTTTCTTATCCACACCCCCAGTAGCTTTCCCGCCCGCGGGCAGCCGAGGGCAAGACAGACACTGAGGCCTGGCTGGGGTCCTGGCCCTGCCTGCTGGGGCCTCCTCTCCACCCCCAAATACAGCGCTCTGCTCTTAGCCCACCCTTTCCTGCGACCCACGGCCACACTGGGGGAGCCTCCCCCTTTCTCCGTTGTCACCCGTGGGCCCTTCGAAGGAGCAGGGCCACCTTGGGCCCTGGAGGGTGGGGGCAGCCAGGTGGGGAGGGGGTGAGGGCCAGGCAGGAACCGTTGGAAACTGATGGGACTGGACTTTCCTGCTGGGCGGGACCGTGTCCTGGAGTCACCCCGCCCTCCGGCTCCTTGGGAACGTCTCTCTCCCTCCGCTCTGGGTGGCTGCCCCGCCCGGCTTCTCCCCCACTTACCCCGAGCCTCCTCCCTAGGTGGGGGACGCCCTGCCCGCCGTGGAGGTGTTTGAAGGGGAGCCGGGGAACAAAGTGAACCTGGCGGAGCTGTTTAAGGGCAAGAAGGGTGTGCTGTTTGGAGTCCCCGGGGCGTTCACCCCTGGCTGCTCCAAGGTGAGGCCCCCTTCGGCGGGTCCTGGGTGTCCTGAGCCTGTGGGTGAGGTGGCGGTTTGGAAAGTAGATCCTGCCGGCTGGTGACTGGTCTGGGAGGGGCCTGGGGCCTTGGCAAGGGAGACACAGTTCACAGCCCTGACCACGGGACAAGTCGGGCTCTGAGCTTCCTAGTGGCCCAGGCAACAGGGGAGCCTGGTGGGCTGAGAGGCCGGGGGAGCTGACCGCTTTGTGCACCTGTCTCCTCGCAGACTCATCTGCCAGGGTTTGTGGAGCAGGCTGAGGCGCTGAGGGCCAAAGGGGTGCAGGTGCTGGCGTGTGTGAGCGTCAACGACGTCTTCGTCATGGGCCAGTGGGGGCGCGCCCACCAGGCCCAAGGCAAGGTGCGGAGTGGGGCCTGCGGGGGCGGGGCCCGGGAGTGGGTTTCCTCCTGACCTGTGCCTTCTGCCGTCCCAGGTCCGGCTTCTGGCTGACCCCACCGGGGCCTTTGGGAAGGTGAGTGTGTCCCGTGGGCGGGTTCTCATGGGACGCGGGCTCTCCCGGGGTCCTGACGCTGTCTCTTCTCTCAGGAGACAGATCTGCTGCTCGACGATTCCTTGGTGTCGCTCTTCGGGAACCGACGGCTCAAGAGGTGAGGGGGAGGGCCCGGTGGGGTTCCTGGGGGAGGGCCCGGTGGGGTTCCTGGGGGAGGGCCCGGTGGGGTTCCTGGGGGTGGGCCCGGTGGGGTTCCTGGGGGAGGGCCCGGTGGGGTTCCTGGGGGGGGCCCGGTGGGGTTCCTGGGGGAGGGCCCGGTGGGGTTCCTGGGGGGAGGGCCCGGTGGGGTTCCTGGGGGAGGGCCCGGTGGGGTTCCTGGGGGAGGGCCCGGGTGGGGTTCCTGGGGGAGGCCCCAGTGGGGTTCCTGGGGGAGGGTCCTGGGTGGGGTTCCTGGGGGAGGGCCCTGGGGGAGGGCCCGGGTGAGGTTCCTGGGGGTGGGTCCTGGGTGGGGTTCCTGGGGGAGGGCCCGGTGGGGTTCCTGGGGGAGGGTCCCGGGTGGGGTTCCTGGGGGTGGGTCCTGGGTGGGGTTCCTGGGGGAGGGTCCCAGCACCGCCCCGCTCATGCGGCTGGCCCCGCCGTAGGTTCTCCATGTTGGTAGAGGACGGCGTGGTGAAGGCACTGAACGTGGAACCCGACGGCACCGGCCTCACCTGCAGCCTGGCCCCCAACATCTTCTCGCAGCTCTGAAGGCCCAGCCCAGACCTCCCTCTCCCCTCTCCTACCCGCCTGCCGGACGCTGGGCAGATCTGGTCTTGCCCAGCCTCAGCAGGGGTCTCCCAACTGGAGCCTCGGCCGCGTTTCTGCAATAAACACTTCCGGGTCACATCCGTCTCCTTGGTTTGGGAACGCAGCTCCATCGAGGGCCTTGGCACCGTCAGAGCCGGGGGCCGGGGGCCGGGGCTGAAGGGGAGAGTCTGGGGGTCCCTGACAGTTACGGAGAAGGCAGGGTCTGGAAGCTGGGGTGCAGCCAGTGGTGCGGGGCGCGGGGAGGGACGGCCAGGGAGCCTGCAGGCACATGCCGGTGGCCACGCGCTTGGCGCACACCATGACCTTTTGCGTAATCTCTGGCTGCTGCTGGCTGAATCCCAGGCTGGGCACCCCAGGGCAGGGCCCTTGGCCTTGGTCACCCCTGCCCCCCCAGCCCCAGCCCCAGCGGCGGGGGGGGGGGGCTCCATCAGTGGAGGCAGCGCTGGTCCGAGAGGGCCCCTGGGGGAGGAGTCTGGGTGGGTGGGTGGGTGGGCGGGCATGAAGCCAGGAGCCAGGGACACCAGCAGGGTTTTGGTGCTGGGGGTGGTAGCTCTGTGCAGGCCCTGGGAAGCCACGGGCAGGGTGCAGGCTGCAGTGAAGTGGCCCCTGGGGTTTAGGTGTTGAGGGCAGGAGCTGCTGCAGCTGTGAGGAGCCGCTCCACTCAGGGAGTCCTGTTGGAGCAGGTCGGTTGGCCTGGGCTGTGCTGGCCGCTGCTTGCTGTGGACCCTGTGGGCGCCAGGCCCCACGGAGCAGCCCCTGCCTGCTGGTCTGGAGAGCTCAGCCCCCTTATCCCCCCCCCCCCCCCCCCCCGCCGCCGCCAAGCCGGCTGGGGCGGAGAGGTCAGGTGCAGGCCTCTTAGAGGCTGTGGGAATGGTGCGGGGAGGGGGGAGGGGGTGAGCGCAGTGGGGCGGGGTGGCTGCCCAGGGAGGGGGAGGGGAGGCTGGAGGCTGCTTGCCTTCCACCCTGGGGCCCTGGGGCCAGTGCAGGACTTGCACAGGACGGTGACAGGTCACATTCCTACGTGCCCCCCCCCCGCCCAGGCCTCGGGTGGTCAGTGCAAGTGCGGAGGCTGTGGTTACGCAGGAGGCTGTGGAGGGGCGGCCTCAGCGCCTGGGTCCTGCCCACTGAACTTTGACCCTGCGGTTCTCACACACCCGGCCACCTCTCCTCCTCCCCTTGCCTGGACAGCACGTGGTTGCACAAGTGAGGAAACAGGCGGAGCTGCACACAGGGCGCCTGTGAGCCCAGCGTCTGCGCCC